TTCCAATGTAAGGCGTACTTAACAAATGTTCACGATTTTTTTTTTTTTTAAATAATAAATAAATAATAAATATTTAATAACAATCACGCCACGTTAACTGGTCCTGTGCTAAAGTTCGTAAAGAACTTGTGTTACAGGTACCAGATAACGGAAATAAATGTAAGATTTTTATTATACACATACATATATTTAATATACATCCATAACCCCGGAAAAGACATTTATATTTATCATACAAATATCTTCCCTTGGCGGGATTGGAACCCGCGACCACCTTGTGTAGTGACCATGTCACTTACCACTACACCAGACGGCCGATTGACTTCCACGTTGAAGGAATAAGATCGTGATCGTGAAATAAAATACAATCCCGCACAATTATAATTTGCGTAATTACTGATACAGCGTTTTTGTGTAACTAAGAATAGTGATTGATGGTAGAACCTCTTGTGATTCCGCACGGGTACACCACCCAACCTATTTCTGCCGTGAAGCAGTAATGCGTTTCGGTTTGAAGGGTGGAGCAGCTGTTGTAACTGTACTGAGACCTTAGAACTTATATCTCAAGGTGGGTGACGCATTTACGTTGTAGTTTTCTATGGGCTCCAGTAACCACTTAACACCAGATGGGCTGTGAGCTCGTCCACCCATCTAAGCTATAAAAAAAAGATGTTGGTGACAGTAATCAAGTTGTGATATGAGTGTATGTATTATTAAATGAACTTCGGTGATTAATTATTATTAATACTAAGTCACACTAAGTAAGATAGCCGTACCATTTTGGCATATTGTCAAAGAAATATAAAATACAGTATTAGATATCTAAAACAGGGTATCTAATTTTTATTCTCTGTTTATGAGAAGGAATGTTTTCGCGGTATCTGAAGTGCGATTTGAATACAACAACAAATCAATAATGTATGAAACGAAGCTATTTGTGTCAATTTGTCATCGACATTTTATTTGCTTTATGAATGAACATTGCACGATCAATCAGTGTGTATAAACATTCTCCAATTGTTTGGTGTGTAAATATTTACATAGAACTATAACATGAGGTTTTAAATTGTTGGAGATTTGTTAAACTTCCCCGAACGCAGCCGAAATGTCGTGTTTAGCGGTAGGAAGCGGCTTGGCTCTGTCCCTGGCATTGCCGGCGTCCATGAGTGGCGGTAATCACTTACCATCAGGTAGGCCGTATACTCGTCTGCCTACCATGCTAATAAAAAAAACCTCTGTACTTGTATTATATATTTTCTTTTTATTATTTGAAGAGTACACTTATAAAAAATGCCAGTCCGTTTATTTATATGTAATAAAACAAAAAAGGAAAAAAAAATCTTATTACATCCTTTCTAAAATGAATTTGTTAGGTATTATTTTGTCTGATTTTGGTGGATAAGGGTATTCAAATGTAGTCGTCGGCTAACCCTATGAAAACCAAAGCCACCCCTAGATTCAATTAATTCTCTAACCACTATTCCTTTGTTGTAAGCCTACAGTGTTCCTTGAGCATACAAAACGATTGTAAGATTCCCAACATACACTAAGAACCGAGATTGTTGTGTTCAATATAAATGTATTTTGTACAGCGCTGATCTACAGTACGTTAACGCGTAGTAGAAGTTTCTTGATATTCATTATGACATTTTATGTAATAGGGACAATTAATCTCAATTGTATTGCGTTGAACACATGTCTTGGTTTTAGAAACGCGAAATTCTTTGATATTGATATCTGCTCATTTAGATTAAAAAAATTCCCTACTACGTCTTATCCAGATCGGGATAACGGGGAGAGAAAGGACGGAAAATATATGGCGTGGACAACTTTCACGACCGGGTGCATAATACACAAACTCCGGTAAACTTCCGAAACTTCAGAAGTCGTCGTGGCCTAAAGGATAAGACGTCCGGTGCATTTGTGATGAGCGATGCACCGGTGTTCGAATCCCAGGCGGGTACGAATTTTTCTAATGAAATACGTACTCAAAAACTGTTCACGATTGACTTCCACAGTGAAGGAATAGCATCGTGTAATAAAAATCAAACCCGCAAATTTTAATTCGCGTAATCACTGGTGGTAGTACGTATTGGAGTCCGCGCGGGTAGGTACCACCACCCTGCCTATTCCTGCCGTGAAGCAGTAATGCGTTTCGGTTTGAAGGGTGGGGCAGCCGTTGCAACTATACTGAGACCTTAGAACTTATATCTCAAGGTGAGCAGCGCATTTACGTCGTAGATGTCTATGGGCTCCAGTAACCACTTAACATCAAGTGGGCTGTGAGCTCGTCCAACCATCTAAGCAATAAAATGATAAAAAATATAAACTATTTATTATCAGGTAATGTACTAAATATGAATAAACTCAATGGTTCAAGGTAAGAGATATATCTCCAGGACGAGTTAGCAGGTCCTGTGCGAAATCTAAGGTTAACCACATGAACAAATTAATAACGTCACGTCCTTAATTAAAGTTTCATTCGTCCACGCCGAACAGATAGCAAAGCTATATTCACTAGTTACAGCGCACGGATTAATGAGGAGAATTCCAATGAATTAATTGCAAGCCAAGTCCGGCTTACTGAGGACGTTCACTGACACTAGTTTACGTAAATGGTAGCAATGAACTAGATGATTTTTTTTTTTTTTTATGATTGAAAGTTTACTGGTGGCCCGAAGGCCTTTCCAGTTTCACCAGGACAGGTGGGCGAGCAAAGGCTCAGCCAAGAGGGGTGGGATTTGCTAACAACTGCCCGAGCGCCTCCGAAGGAGACCTAACAACTCAAGAGCAATTGTTTCGCGAATGAATCTACTACCGGATCGGAATCGCGACCCGCTNTCCAGAAAGAGCACTTAGTCGGCAGATGTACCACAAACACAGGCCGCGCGAACAATGGCCGGGCTAACAAAAGCCGGGCGAACAAAGACCGGGCGATCGAGTGGACGATGAGCACGTCCGCACGTGACGGGTGCCTCTATCGGAATGGAACTAGATGATCAGTAACGTAGGTTTAAAGATATTCTGTGGCTTTTAATAACACTTTAAGCCTTTAGTTTCTCGCCGGATCTTCTCAGTGGGTTGCATTTCCAATCCAATGGGAGTTTTTTTTTATTGCTTAGGTTGTTGGACGAGCTCACAGCCCATCTGATGTTAAGTGGTTACTGGAACACATAGACATCTACAAGGTAAATGCGCCACCCACCTTGAGATATAAGTTCTAAGGTCTCAAGTATAGTTACCACGGCTGTTCCACCCTTGAAACCGAAACGCATTACTGTTTCACGGCAGAAATAGGCAAGGTGGTGGTACCTACCCGCGCGGACTCACAAAAGGACCTACCACCAGTAAAGGTTCTGTGAAGCACTGCTTTTGCTAGGGCCAGTATTAGCAACACTCCTGGTTTGAGCTCCGTGAGCTCACCTACTAGCTCGGCGAATCTAGAATAACCCTTAGAGGTTACTAGAATAGGCAGAAAAAAAAGTAAAAGTTGTGTACGTAGCTTATGATATATGGCATTCAATCAGTTTCGATCATATTGGGATCTGACTGTCAATGCCAAAAACCTCACGCGCTATCTCCAGTCGTAGATTATAATACTATTGATAGGGCATTGATTGGACCTTTTATAGTCACGGACCACGAAAAATATAGCGTGGTGTAAATATATAAAACGAAAGAAAAGGGCTTAAAGATTGATTTGTGAAATTGATGATTAAGAACCTCGATCTTTTGAAGTTAGACTATTGATGCCATTAGACATAACACAAATAACGTCGTACACTCTGAGCCAAACTGTGGTGGCTTTAGAAGCCCGTATTAGGTTTCAAGAGATTAATAGTGTTCGAATTAATTTAGATTGGTACATTAATAGTTTGGTACTTGGTTACGTGTTTTGAATTGAATCTTTAAGTAAGAGCGTATTGCCGCAGAGCAAATGGCCTCATAACGAAATATCTGTTTCAAATGAAAATGCTTTAGGCTTCGTCACAGAGTATTGATTTATTGTGGTTATTTAATTTTGTACTAGTACAGATGCTTGATACATTTGTTTCTAATTCTATCTCAATTAGAATAAAACTATCGTGCAGCAGGAAATATGGGCATTGTCATGAGGACATAGTGTATACGTATGCGCTGCCTCTGTCTACTTTTATTTTTTTATTGCTCAGATGGTTGGATAAGCTCACAGCCCGCCTGGTGTTAGGTGGTTACTGGAGCCCATAGACATCTACAACGTAAATGCGCCACCCACCTTGAGATATGAGTTCTAAGGTCTCAAGTATAGTTACAACGGCTGCCCCACCCTTCAAACCGAAACGCATTACTGCTTCACGGCAGAAATAGGCAGGATTGAGGTACATACTCGTGCGGACTCACAAGAGGTCCTACCACCAGTAATAAGCACCAAACCTAATTTAAAAAAGTAGGTTAATATGTTCTGGCATTTGAGATACACCAAGAAAGGGAAGTTATTCCCGAGACAGTTGTTATGTGACACACTCATATCGTAAATGAAATATGTTGTAGATAAACTTAATTCGACGTAGCTGAAATAAACAGGAAAAGTAATGGAAATGATATCAAATTATTAGAAGGATCACATTGCCGTATACGAGTATTCGCTAATAGCTCGCCACAGGATACGAAAGTTTATTCATTTATATTAAGAAACTAGCTGACTCCGGCAGACTTCGTAGTGCCTCAATCGATATATAAAAGACCTAAACTTTTGTATAAAATAAACTTGAAACAAAACAAAGGAATCCATCCCACGGGGGACACATCAAAGGAAAAACAAAATTGTCTGTTTTTATATAATTCTGAGCATTTTCAGATTTTTTCACCTTTTAAACCTTTTCTGGACTTCCACAAATAATTCAAGACCAAAATTAGCCAAATCGGTCCAGCCGTTCTCGAGTTTTAGCGAGACTAACGAACAGCAATTCATTTTTATATATATAGATTTGTAAGAGTTGTTTGTGTTGTGGTTTGCTCACCTTTAATATTAGCATCCTCACCACCTCCATATCTCACGAATATAAAATACAGCACCATTAGAAGTAGTTGGAATGCCAACACCGGGGCGTACTTGAAGGCAGTGTATTTAATCATCTTCGAAACCTGAAAAAAAGGTTAGGAATTTAGAACTATCTCTTATTAAAGGTGTCCCTATAAATTAGATGCAACGCGTACACAACAGACTTTAGAGCGAAATTTGATTTTCAACATTAGGCTGGAAATAGATGTTTAATTTTTTATTTTATTGCTTGTATGGGTGCACCAGCTCACAGCCCACCTGGTTTTAAGTGGTTACTGGAGCCCATAGACATCTACAACATAAATGCGTCACCCACCTTGAGATACAAGTTCTAAGGTCTCAAGTATAGTTACGACGGCTGCCCCCACCCTTCAAACCGAAACGCATCACTGCTTCACGGCAGAAATAGGCAGAGTGGTGGTACCCACCCGCGCGGACTCACAAGAGGTCCTACCACCAGTAATTACGCAAATTATAATTTTGCGGGTTTCATTTTTATTACACGATGTTATTCCTTCACCGTGGAAGTCAATCGTGAACATTTGTTGAGTACGTATTTCATTTGAAAAATTGATACCCGCCTGCGGGATTCGAACACCGGTGCATCGCTTCAACACGAATGCACCGGACGTCTTATTCGTTAGGCCACGACGACTACAAATAGATGTATTGTCGTAATTATTCGCGATGCTATAAGTATTAAGGAAAGCTGGATTTTTAAATTAAAGCCATGGAAGGTTGGGATAGTTTTTCTATTGACTGTGAACTATGTGATAATAGATAATAATATGTTCACGTGGCCCAAAGATTTCGCTTAAGATTTTTTTCTACTCGTAAATATGTCGTTTAGGTTTTTTTTATTGTTTAAGTAAGTGGACGAGCTCACGGCTCATCTGGCGTTAAGTGGTTACCGAAGCGTATAGACATCTACAACGTAAATGCCGCCACCTACCTTGATATTCTAAGGTCTCAGTTTTTACAGTACAACAGCTACCTCACCCTTCAAACCGAAACGCATTACTGCTTCGAGGCAGAAATAGGCAGGACGTAGTTACCTACCTGTGCCGACTCACAAGACTTCCTACCACCAGTAATATTATTTAGTTCGCATTTTTTTTAAACAAGTGATTTTATCTTCCAAACTCTGTTAATTTCTTTGCATCTCTTATCTCATAGTTATTTAAGTGTTACTGCTATGCAGATAAGGTGTAATTATAATCACACTTAAATTAGGTATATTATACAGAGTCCAAGATACTGCAGCGCAACGAATATGTTCGTAAAATTACCTCATACGTTTTCTACAATCACCGACAGTAACATTGAGATTATATGTAGCAGATCAGTTCGAATGGTGTATACCATGTAATGTTGCAGCATAGTGCTAAATAAAAACGGAGTAAAAGACAACATTAAAATTGTTTTAATGCTTTATTGAAACAATTCGCAATAACGAAGACGAGGACAGTCTTAGTTATTCATTAGGCATGTGCAGGTAAAGAAATTTTGATACTAAACTACTTAGTTGTATGTCAAAAGTATTCATAAGCATAATATATTGAGGTGCGTATCATCAACTCAATAGTTGTTCGAGAAATAAAAAGGCCCATTGATATCGCTCAGAAGCATCAATAGAAGAACCTTAAAGCATATAACGAAGATTCCGTAACGATTGGATTGATTGTATGCACATTTTTAGTAGAGGCAGGACCTCTTGTGAGTCCGCACGGGTAGGTACACCACTCCGCCCATTTCTGCCGTGAAGCAGTAATGCGTTTCGGCTTGAAGGGTGGGGCAGCCGTTCTAACCACGGAATAGATAAATAAGGTTGGAATGGTAATGTAGGCGGGGCAAGCGTGCCACAGTTATGTTTCTACAATCATAACTCGACCGATTTTTTCATTCACCGCGTTTAATGCGCTTCGGACTACTTTGGCGAACAGATCTCCGCTTTATAGTGCCGTGTTGTGCAATTATAACTTGTAAAACAAAAAATCAGACCTCAAGTATAGAGCGGGGAGGTATATCTTTCGATCGGTAAGTCGAAATTACCATTTAATTACAATATTATTTGTCTAAAACATAAACATGTACTGAGCATTATGAAATTCCAAACATTAACAATATTATTGCAGCAAGTTATAAATAGCATACATTGCGCGATTTGTACTGGCCCAATGAACGCAATGACCAAGTCAGCTTCCAATGTACTACATGGATTGCGTTCTCTACACTTTGATCTTTGAAATTTCGGCCTTTGCCCTGATTGGCTGTGGTGTAGTTTGTCGATAGTGAGGTGACCATGTGGTGAAATAAAATCATGGACAGAATTCTCGACTATATTTACATTTGACATGGAGAATTTTTGCAATATTTTATATTTAAGTAATGATACCTAGTATATTCTTAGTGAGACGTATTTTGTGTAAAATAAATATGTATTATTATTATTGAATTATTATCATTGAATTAATGTGAAGGTATAATATAAAGGGACATGTAGACCTCTCATTTACGATTATTTACTATATTGTCTAAGACGTATTAAAATCTAAGTAAAATGCTATTTGACTTATGCAGTAAATTAAAAATTTTAGGTTTCCTAAAGAACCTAACGCCAGGGAACAATAGATTGACGTGACAGGTAGAGGAAACTGGAGACAAAGACGAGTAGCATTTGCAGTAAAATTTTACTGAAAATGATTTTACCATAAAAAAAATCAGAATACACTTAGTTTTGAAAAATTCATTCGCAATTTATTAATTATTGCTATTGCTATTGCAAGCGCCAACTGCTTAATAAATACGTTTTATTCCAGGGACAGTGACTATTTGTAATTAATAAATGTAAAATAGTCTTTTTTTTTCAATATTTATTTCATGTTTCATTTTCTCCATTCATTCATCAGATAATTTATCGATAAAGAATAGAATATAGATTTTATCAAGCACTAGCGTGTATGAACATTTCTATTGCCTTTTTGCGTGTGTGAGTGTGTATGCCTACGGGTGTTTTGTGCTAGTTTGCGAACGAATATCTGTCCTGAGATTTATGTGTGGGTGTTTTTGTTGTGTGCGAAATACTTATAATCACAGTATGTGTATGTGTAGAAATTAAAATAGTGGGGATGAAGCGGCGACACTGGTTCTAATACAAAATTAGAGCAAAGGCCTTTCCAACCTTATTTATCTATTCCGTGGTTCTAACTATACTGAGATCTTAGAACTTACATCTCTAGGTAGGGGGCGCATTTACGTTGTAGACGTCTATGGGCTCCAGTAACCGCTTAATATCAGGTGGGCTGTGAGTTCGTCCACCCATCTAAGAAAAAAAAAATAGGCTTCGGCCGGGAATCGAACCCCTACCACAAATAGTCAGTAACCTCGACATTTGGAATTCTTTTGGGACAATCTTCGCCAGCAGGATTTTGGATAACCAATTTTAAGAACATTAAAAGTAGCAGCCAAGTATATTTTAATTTGAAATTAAACGCAGATAGAATAATGAGACGCACAACAACGCGTGTAGGTATGTGAATATTAATTTAATATCTTTGGTCGAAATCTCGAATGAATTCATACACCTAATATCTATATCTCATTGCAGTCTACTGAACAAGGGATATGTTGTCTGACACCAATCATGATTAGTATTTCAAATACATAGGAGCCAATGTACACATAAATTAGTTGAGAAAATAATCCTTAGTAGCACGAAATAAGGACGATTGTTTCAATGGCAAGTTTTAATTTATTTGCTTATTTCTAACGAAGCTGTATTACAGTGTTTTTGTGTTTAATTACTTGAGCGTAAAATTGAGAGATGGTTTGGATTAATTTAGTTTTTTTTTGTCATTATAAATTGTTTCCAGCTAATGGTTTTGCCTGGTATTAGGACTATTAGGCGATAACCGCTGCCCACATTTATTCCAGACCCATTTGTTGGTAACCTAAGGGACTATTCCAGCTAGGACGGGTAGGTGATCTCACGGGCTCAACCTGAGAGAATTTGCTAACACTGGTCCTAGCATGAGTAGTGCTTTGCAAATATACCACCGGATCGAAATTGCGACAAACTAAGAAGATCCAGCGAGCAACTCAATGGGTTACTGCCCAAGGATAACGTGCATAGTGCAAACCATCTTGCGACCTAAGATAAATAATAAAAAATAAATATAAATAAATATTTAATTACAATCACGCCACGCTAACTGGTCCTGTGCTAAGTTCGTTAAAGAACTTGTGTTACAGGTACCAGATAACGGAAATAAATGTAAGATTTTTATTATACACATACATACATTTAATATACATCCATAACCCTGGAAAAGAGATTTATATTTATCATACAAATATCTTCCCTTGGCGGGATTCGACCCGCGACCCCCTTGTGTAGAGACCATGTCACTTACCACTACACCAGACGGCCGTTGATAGATAGAGATAGAGTTGTACTGGATCCATGATAACACAAATTCATCCCGCGCATAATTGGTATGATGGCGATCCATATATGGTCGTGGTAGCGGTACAGACCCGTGCAGGGCACAACATACCTTACCACCAGTGCAATTCAATTACTTCGGTGTTACAGTCACATACAACATTTAATTGTCAGTTCAACGTTGGCTAGTTTTATGATGTGATCTTGTGATCCTTTAGCTATAGTTCCATTTTCCAACCGAATGTGGATTCAATTAAGACAATAACCAAATTTTTTTTACATTATCTATATATTAATACGTGAAGCAAAAACTTTGTATCCCTTTTTACGAAAATTAGGCGGACGGAGGAGTATGAAATTTTACACACTTATAGAGAATATAGAGAAGAAGTGCACAAAGCTAAAAATTTTTAAAATAATGCATAAAAGATACATTAAATCAATAAAGAAAACATTACACACACTACATACCATGTATTTGACGCACACACGCATGCATTGTCAAACTTTTGTTCTTGACGTCTGTGGTCAAATTGAGAATAGATTAAATATTGTTTGTCTTTATTAATATTATTTTAAAGAGTAGCCTTGGCGAAATTTATGATTATAGAAGTATAAAATACAATCATAATAGA